CTGAGGACTTTCGTTGGACTCCCGCAGGACTCGAAACCTCAACAGAAGTCCCACGGGAGTCTTCAGGAGTCCTGAGAAATCCCTTGAAAGTCCCACCTGACTCCTACAGGATCCTGCAGGACCCCGTGACAGGAGTCCCGTGGGAGTTTTGCCGGGAGTCTCGACTAGGGTTTAGAATTATACGCTCTACATTTTTTTGATCCAACACTTTTCATGGAAATTTAAGGAAAAAGTTTGTTTGAAGACAGAACTTTTATTTTTTGAGAAATTTCACGTATTTTAAAACAGCTTTTTTTTCTTAAATTTTTGTGAATAATGTTGGGTACAATAAAATGACCGCATGATTGAGATGAACATGATTGAGAAAACGTCGAACTTTTAAAAGAAAACATCTTCTATGAGCTATATGCCACGTGGCCAGAGCAAAAGAATTGTTGTCACAACGAAAAGGACTGTTATAGCCACGCGATGTTCCGGTTTAAAGGTCATCGATTAACCGAGACTGTCATTTCCTAGGTGAACATCGAGACTATGCCTATATGGATGAATCGGCTAATATTCCACCTTTCTTCTTTTTGACTTTCTACATTGCCTGTTGAATTGACCATCGCGCAATCGATAGTCTGAAAGAACGAAAGTATAATGGATGCAGAACGATTCCTGAGTGTATTATCATAGATCTGTGAAAGCTAACAACTACATTAAAGCCTTAAGTTTGACAATCATCTATTTGCCCTAAATGGACCTTATAGGAAGTACTCCTACATCAACCTCATATCACTTATTTTTTTCAGATTTCATTTAGTTTATTTATCTCTTATCCTCACTATCTCTGTAATAATGGTAGTTGCATTTTCGAATACAAAACTACGTGTACCAAAAGGGTTCCAAACTTTTCTAGTTGGTTTATCAACAGAAATTTTACGTCATCAACCAAAAAATATTAATCACTTTGCAGCAGATTATTTTGATAAACTTATTCAGAAAAGAGGTAAGTCATTTTTTCGACTAGTCGTTTTATCTAAATTGATTAGTATAAAAAAATATACGCGGTCGGTTTATGTGATCGACTTTTTGATAATAGATAGAGTACTTTGGGGTAAAAGAGACACTCCACTGAAATACACGGAATTCTCAGAGACAAACCTCTACCGTCTCTCAGAAGTCGATTTTGGTATTATACCAAACTGACCAAGTTCTTCAGAATGCTAAACTCTATCACATATGTGAAAATCGGAAGAAAATAAAATATTTTCAGCGGTTTCTCTAGCTTAATTATTTTGATAATTTTAATGAAAAAAATATGTTTAAAATCGACAATGTTCATTGTGTGCATAGAAACCGCTGAAAATATTTTATTTTCTTCCGATTTTCACATATGTGATAGAGTTTAGCATTCTGAAGAACTTTGTCAGTTTGGTATAATACCAAAATCGACTTCTGAGAGACGGTAGAGGTTTGTCTCTGAGAATTCCGTGTATTTCAGTGTAGTGTCTCTTTTACCCCGAAGAAATTACACGAGTGTCTCTATTTACCTCAACCGTACAAGTGAAGTGTCGCTGAGTTCTTCGCATTTTGGATCTGGCTCAAAATTGGCCGCAGATTTTCAAAAGATTTTTACATGAGTGTGTAGAAAAATGTTCGGTCAACCACCGTGTTCAATAGCAAGTTTTTCCGACCAAAAACGGCCAAGAAATAGCAGAGAAAGGATGAAAATTTCAAAGATTGTCTCTAATTACCCCAAAGTACTCTAATCTTAATAACACATACCATTAATCTTCCACTGAGAATAAATAATAATTCTTTGAAGTGGAAATAAGGGCAAGGATTTCTTAGAGAATGGAACTAGGACTAAAACGACAACGGTTGTCTACTTATGATCTAATTTGAGTAAATAGAAGACGATCAGAGTTACGAAACGGAAAAATTGAAAAGAGAACGGTCTTATTAATCAATTGTTTGCTATTTGCCAATTTATTAGAATATTAAATTATGATTTGACATTGTACGCAAAAAATTATTGTACAAAAAAGTAGGTATACAAAAGAAACGTCAACAGCGTAAAACTTAAATAATTCGCGCTTTGTTTTCTTTTGTACTTTTCCCAAAAATACAGATGAAAACGATTAGAGACTATAGATATTTGTAAATGGTAGATATCAATATAGAAGGCGCATCCCAATAAACTAATATCTAGTTTTCAACATAAATAAATAAAATTTTTCAAAAGATACCCGAGTTAGACATGGGCGGGACCAAGATTTTTCTGTCCCATCCGGGTCTCGGAAAAATTCTTTTGTCCCGTCCCGATTCTGAATATAATTTTGCTTGTAAAACTCGAAAAAAACAATCTGTTCATGCCAGAAACTATTTTGCTGTTTTTACGAAATTGTTAAAAAGAATTATTGATTCCAGTGCCGGTCTCGATCAAAATCTTTTTAGTCCCGATCCTGATCAAAATTGTTTTTAGTCCTGGTCCCATTCCGATTGGGAGCGCTCATGTCTAAGTAGAATACTACACTACCTTTATGTCAAGATATGATCAACTTTTGTTACGCTTATCTAATGTGTTAAATTAGGCAACTTAGGATTTACATCCACTGTTTTTGGTAGCGTTTCTCCTTTCATGATTTTGCCATTCCTTCTTAATTCCTCGTTTTTAGAGAAACTTCAGCGGGAAGCCAGGTTATGAATAAAAAAATTATCGATTGGCTTACCCAATGATGTTCTACAAATGATAAAGTGTATAATTCTGGTTAAAAAACAGACATTGAAATAAACATTAGATTTTCAAATCTACATGTTAACATTAACGTTCAACGTATTTTGATCTAACCATCAGTTAGTGTCATTTATGTTAAAAACAAAAAAATGTTTTCGATCCAAACAGAATTTATCCCTATTCATTCATATTAGAATCTAAATAATATGGCTATGAAATGATTTAACTGTTGAATATAAGTGTTGAATCTAAGAGCATTTTTTTGAATCATTACTTATTTGTCTAAGTAGTTAGTAAGTGGAATAATAGAACAGTCTTGATCAGCTGTGATCATCATTAAGACATGAGTAGTTTTTTTGTTACTTTTAGAAGTTTGGTAGAAAAATAGTGATACATAATAATATAAGAAAATTTCCTGTTTCTTTTTTTCTTCTCTTCTTCGTTTAATTGTACGATTACATGATACGATGGTTAACCTTTCACTCCTACAGGCAAACAATATCTATTTTTAGGCTGTTATCTGAAAAATGATTACTAATTGATACTGATAGATTATATTATCACATTCTTATTTGACTAATTATAATATTGTTTAAAAATCTGATTTGAATTTAGGTTGTTAGAGTATTTTATTCTTTATTTCGATGGTTCTTCTTCTTTGAAAAACATTATTTTGTTATGTTCGATTAGTATGTAGATCCAAGGAGAGATTAGAATCTCATCAGTCTAGCTTATTTTCCTAGTAGAAACTCTACTGATACACATCCGACTTTTCTTCAAAACTTTGCACTTGATCTGGAGTAACTTTAAAAGTGTAAAGACTTTTCGGACTTTTAGAATAAATTTGATTTATAACTACTTTTTCATTACAGAAAAGCTTAGTAGAAATTCTGAACTTCGTTGGGAGAGAGAGAGAGAGAGAAAAGCTGTTACAGTAAGGTATTCTTAAAGACATACTCGTGTACTCTCTAAAACAAATCCGTTGCTTACAAAACGAATATTGATTTTGGCATTTGCTCGTAACAGAAACCGATATTCGTATCTTACAGTCCTGCTTAGCCTTTTCGCAGAATATGCTTGAACGTTTTTTTGCCTTGTGAAGAAACGGATTTAGGTTTTGTACCAGAGAAAAAACGTCCAAGCGTATTCTGCGAAAAGGTTAAACAGGACTGTACGGTACGGATATCGGTTTCTATTAGGAGTAAATGCTAAAATTGATATTCGTTTTGTAAATTATGGATTTCTTTTAGAGATTACGAAGGATCAATTCAGGTTTCTAAAAAACATGAGCTTTTCTGTAACAAACAAGTAATTGTAAAACAAAATTTATTAAATAAAGAAATAATGTTGAATTTAAAATATCAAAATCATTGGATAAAATTTTCAAATCTACAAGAAAGAAAACCTTTGAAGGATGATGATGACAATGCAAGATAGAAAAAAATTTGACTTGTCTTTTATACTAGTGCAACGAACATTTTTAAGCTTCATCGTTGCACACGTAAATAATTAGTTTCTATATGCTGAGCTCAAAAATCTTTTATTTTCTCTTTTCTTTATCTATCGAACCGTAGTAGATTATATTTCTTGAATTTGAATAAAATGTTTTTTGTAGAGAAATTATAGAATTTAAAATATGAAGATATTCTCTTTATGAGATATTCTAGTTAAGAATTGAAGATTAATTTCAGTTATATTTATTTTAGAGCGAGGTCAAAGTTTACCATTCGAAAAGCAAGCATCATTAGAAGATCGATATTATAACAATAAAAGTTTTAAGGTATTTATATTGAAATTTAAGATAATACACAAAATATATTTAGGAATTGTTCTAATTTATTAATTTTAATTTCAGGAAGATTATTCTGTTAATGATCCTGAAGTTGATAATGCTGCACGCAAAATACAAACACAATTTCGAGGACACCAAACAAGAAAAGAAATTGAAAAAATGAAAAAAGTTAGTAAATACAAAACAAAAGAATAGTAATAAGAAAAAAAATATAGTCTGTGTTTTTTATTTTGAATAATAGAGTGGTCAAAATGATTTTGATCAACAAGAACTTGGCTATCGAATTGATCAACAACGACAACAGGTAAACACATTGACTCTTCTCTACACGCCATATTATAAATATCACTTTGTTTTCTAATTTTTATTTCTAGCAGCAAGATGATGATGATGATGATGATGATGAGAGTGAACGAGAATATTATCAGGATAATCAGGTAAACATTTAGAATTTCTAGACTTTACGCTGACTATTGACAATACGTCATTTCACTAGATTTATTTATGAAAAAAAAAGATTTTGACAGAATTAATCGTATAGAGACAACAATCATTTTGTTTTCACTTTATTAAAATAAAAGTTTTTGATTATCACTTTAAGGGTGCCCTTCGCCGCTTTTTGGACTTTCCGTAGACATGCTGTGAAATAAAAAATAAAAGTTACTAAGGATTCATAATTTCAGAACTGATTTGAAACTCAATGGAGCACTTTTTCGTTTTTGTTTCAAGTTTCTAACTGTTGCCATTCACAAGTTTTCTAGAAAACTCGCTTTTTCATTGGACCACATTACGATCCACTCCCTAAATTTCATCCGGTCGAGTTAAAAATTTTACCAGAGGTACTCAAGGTCATAGCGCAGAAGTAGATTTTTGGAAATATTTTTAAGATCTTTCCTGATCGAGTTATAGGAAAAATACCAAAAAACGTCTCAAAAACCAAGTTTTTCAATTTTAGAAATTTATAACTCAGTAAAGAGAAGTCTAAAATAAAATTCAAAAAAATACCTCTGCAATAGTGTCTTGAATACTTAAGGTAAAATTTTTAACTCGATTGGATGAAATTTAAGGGGGGACGTAATGTGATCCAATGAAGCCCGATAGCAAAAAACTAGTTTTCGAGAAAAGACGCATTCTGTGTATAGACCACGTTTTCAGGGCATTTGCTGTGATGTTTATATCTCCACGAAAATCCATCGAAAAATTCTGGGAGATATCTCATTGTGAAGAAAACCCTTTCTTCTATCAGACTATGTGTAAGAAAAATTTTGAATGTACAGAAAAGGAGAGAAAAGTTTATGAAACTAAAAAATTGAGTCTTTTTAGGCTTCGAAGGAAAAACTTAAAAAGCTCATAGCTTTTTGAACAAAGGTCGTGGAGTACTGGGAGTGGTCTCATTTTGTAGCCCACACTTTCCTCGACATAAGGCTATAATCAGTTCAAAATCCGAAATTTTTTCAAAAAAGAGGAAAGGTACCCTTAATTATCATCGATCATAGTACACATTAAAATAACATACAATTTTCCTTTTTTCTGTCCTATTTTCTGTTTTGTTTTCATTGAAACGACAATTTGATCACTTGTTTCAATACGATTAATTATTGTTCCTATTCAACTATATTGGATAATAAATGATATCGACAAAAAAATTTCGGCATTCATTTCTGACAGCTTTTCATACATGAACTCCAAATTTTTCTTCTATTATCTGCGCTGGATGAGTCCAAGTTCGGACTGGAAATTTTTTCAGTGGATTCGAGCTCAAACTTGAGTTTTTATGTTTCGATGATGTTGGGTTATGCGAATCTTGCTAGATTTATTGTACAATCTTGTGATTTTTACCTAGAATAGCTTTGAAAACACATGGAAACATAGGTTATCAACTGTACCGATTCTTGGTACACTGTTTCATAGAAGAAAAAAATCGAAAAATCTAATGTTAATGCAAACTGTTTCTAACCAATGTGCATGATATAATAGAAAAATTCATATCTTCTTTAAAATAGATCAAAATAAGTTGAAAATTGTGTAGCCATCGAATGCCATGGGCACAATATGGCACTACACAAAAAGAAAGTTAATTCTTGTTTTACAGAAGATTTCTGAGGGAATATAAAATCTCGTAGTCTGAAAAGCAATGAATTTTTTTTCCTTATCAACGATAACTAACAGATATTTTTCTACTCTACTTATTTCAAAACTTTCAGTTCATTTTGCATCGATTTGAAGAGAATATGTTAGACCATCAATTTGTGTTATTTCCTTGACGAAAGTCAGGATCCTGATAGTTTATTTGTTTGTCTGTCCGTCTGTTCATCTACATAGAAATTTGTACTTTTTTTCTTTTAAGGAATTATAAAGAAATAAAACTGAAAAATAAAAAAATAATATTTATTTCAAGTTAGACACTTGATCTAATGTATAAAGAATAAAAGAAATTATGAAAGAATAAAAATGGTTGTTGTTACATTCAATAATAATGTACATGTACGTCCTCTGTTCATTTTTATCTGTGATTTATTTGATCTTCTTCTCGCTATATCTGTCGATTTGTTTTAACAAAAACTAGTAAACCTTCTCTCTCCTGCTCGATTTAACAATATTTCTACTTTTTTCTTTGTGTTGTTGTTTGTCCTTTCAACACATCTTCTTTTCATATTAAATTATTTTTTGACACGACAAAAAATATTCAAATGTCAAGGGATCGAGTACATTGTAGATAAACGTTATCTTGATTAGAAGAAAACATGCAATTGGATTTTCAAAAATCCCACGTCGATCGAGTTCATTCTCTTTTGAAATGTATAGTACACATGTGTGAGATAAATGTCTGCTATGAGAGAACTATAAGCGATTTGGAATTCTATCTTGTGTAGAGTAGTAGAAGACACTTTGTCAGCATGTTACAAATAAAACTTATTTACCGTTTTTCTTGCGAACATGGCCTATGAAACATTTGTTTACAGATCATAAGTCATATTGAAATCATCAATATCGATTTTAATGAATTAAACCAGAAAAAATATTTTTTTCTGTTCTTACTTGACTTAAGAATGCTTTTTTTAGCCAGAAGAACGAAGACGAAGTGCACAAGATGATAGAAATAAACAACAAAGAGATGCAACCCCAACAGCTCAGGTATATGTCTTGAATTATATTCTTACTTGATCGTCTACTTTCTATTTTTAATATGAAATAGGCAAGTAATCGTAGTTATCCAATCCGAAATGAAGTTGAGGAACGACAAAGTAGAAATGACGAAGAACAACAAGTGAGTAAACAAACATCATTCAGAGACTGTAAAACTATACTTTTGAAAAATGTTATCTTCTATGACGAGGAAAAACTACCACGCATTTTCCAAAAGAATGTGTATGACTATTTTTCAACTAATTTTCGAACAAAAGATGGTAGACATCAACGGTTTTGAAAGAGAAGACTTACTGAAAAATCATATGAAAATACAGTATCGTTTCAACAATGTTTTCCATTATGCAGTTGTTGGTCTCTAGCACTTTTTGTTCGAAAAAATAGTCACATACATTCTTTTTAAAAAATACATAGTAGTATTGACTTCACTTGTTCAGTAAAATGAGCAGTGACTATCTAAAAACAATTTCTGCAATGATAGTCAGACATTTCTTTGTATTGAATATTGAAATTGTGAAAAAAGTGCTTTCGATTGTACATACACATTTGAATTTCGATGTATCTAATGTTATGGTATAACGTTTTCAGAATGATACTTGTCGAATTGAACATGTGGACTTACAGTACTATGTAAAAGTAGCGGGGTCTCTTTCTAATTTTGTGTAGCCGTTGCTCTCACCGAACGTTGATCACCCAGTAGGTGTAAGCCCTTTCATTTACATGCTTTGTGAAATATAAGCGCTCCATTTTCTTTTCTGTATGTCTAATTCAAGAGAGATAAAACTTTCTTTTTTTTCCAAAATATAGTCCTGATTCTCTCTCATCTATCCACAGCACGAAGTGTAAAATGTTTGAACTTATCAAGGGTACCCTCCTCTTTTTTGTCTCGCCTGGAAATCGGGAAAGCCGATGGCAGATCGACACAAAATTTATATCGGAGATAGAACATCGAAAAAGAAAATCGATGTATTTTTGCCCAGAATTTTCTGACGTGCTCTTCTATGGGTTTTCTAGAACACTCCAGTTTCACCGGTCTCATTACGATCCCTCGAAATATGGTCCGATCGAGCTCAAAATTTTAATACTTTAGACCTTATCTCATAATGTAAATTTTTCTTTTCGAAAAATATGCTTTCCTTCTCGAGATATTCGAAAAAATACTAAAAATCCTCTATAAAAAACCGTTTTTTTTGTTTTAAAAACCGTCTCATGCCGAAAGTTGAAATCGAAAACGCTTAAGAAAAATTCACATCCTGAACTAGGGTCTGAAGTATCTGGGATAAAAGTTTGAGTTCGATCGGGTCATTTTTTCGAGGGATTGTAATGTGACTCGATTGAAGGAACTATACGAAAAAATTTTGAATATACAGAAATGGAGGGAAAAATTTACGAACCTAAAAAATTGAGATTTTCGACGCTTTGAAGAAAAAAATTACAAACTTCATAACTTTTTCAAGGGGAGTGATCTCATTTTATAGCCCAGACTTTCTTCTATATTAGACTGTGTTCAGCTCAAAATGAAACTTTTTTGCAAAAAGGGGGTGGCGAATCCTTACTTATTGAATGACAACTACTTTTTGATCCAGGATAGCTTTTGAAATTTGAAGCCCTTCCTATTCTCTTATAAAAAAGTGCCGGATAGAAGCTTTTAGGGTTCTAGAATCGAGTACCATTTATGAACCTGTTAAAGGTTCAAGGCACAAACTATGGTTCTATCTCGCGCCTTGTTTTTCGGAAAAAGGTTCCATCTACCCGGCACCTTTTTTTTAAAGAGTAGCGAAGGTATTTGAGCCAAGTACTTGGGCAAATATATGGACTAATTAATGAGGGCAGTACTTGTGAACTACTGCAAGTAAATTTACTTAGAAAACTTCAGTCAAGTAAGGTGCCGGTAATTCGAAAATTAAGTAGAAAAAAAATGTTGTCCTTTTTTGTTATGGTTAGATAGAGCTGGTCGAGTTATATAGGAAAATGTTATTTTTGAGGTTTCGAAAATAATTTTCATATGAAAAAATTTTGAAACATCGAATTTTTCAAATTAGGTGAAGTTTTAAATATTCTCATAATTTTCATCTTTATTAATCTTCTTAATTTTCAAAATCGCTTTATTCTCCTTCTCTTAAACTGAGTATAGAAAACCGAATTTAATGAGAATAAAATCAAAAGTGAACAAAAACTTCGCTAAATAGGGAAGCAGAATAGGTGAGAAGTCCACCTTGTATCGTGCAAACCAATTAAGTCTTTATAGATGCAAAGAGGACCAATTCCTTTTACATCATTCTAACCAATCATACCGATGCGAAAAAATTACAAAGCGGTTTTAGATTATCTTTTTCCGTTGAATTTTTTCCAAACCAGTAATAATAATTAAGAAAATGCATCTGTATTGTGTAACTTTTACCATTAAATTTCAAAATTTTCGCAAAATCAAAAACATATTCACAATTTCCGTCAAAACCTGAATTGAATGATGCTTGTTTTCGAGTTTTCGAAGAATTTTCACTTTTTCGAATTTCTCGACCGAGTAAATCTTTTCTTGAAAATCAATCTTAAAAATGACATTTTCCTATATAACTCGACGAGCTCTATCGAACCATGATGAAAAGGATAATATTTTTTTCTACCTGAGTTTCAAATTATCGGCACCTTACTTGTTTCATTTATCTTTATTTTGTACGTATTCTGCACCACACTCCACTGTTGTAGAGCAGACACATGCATGATAGCTAACAAGTTTGTTCAACTTAGTGGAAATATCTAAATTTATTTTTTCTAAATTTGTGTTGATCGATATTGTCAGGTTTATATACAACGTGTCTATGTAAAACAAAAGAGTGGTTGATTCATGCGAGTAATGGCATGAACATCGACAAGAACTTGGGAAGTAAAAACATTTGCCACGTTCTTGTTCAAATGTATAGTAAGGTAGGAAACGTATTCTTATACAATATATATCTTACGCTAGAAAGATGACAATAAAAGTTTGAGTCCGAAATGTTGAGTATTCCCAGAGCTGTCCTAAAAATAAGAGGCAAAACGTAGGTGTTTGTGCAGCAAATATTTCTCTGCCATTTTGAGTGCTACACAGCTCGGAATAATTTGAAAATGTAGCTAAGACTTAACACAATAACTTAATAGAACAGTTAAAATTATAAAAAGGACAATTTCAGGAATGTCAGTTAGTGTACTTTAGGACACGTGGAGCTTTTAACTTTTGAATAGAAGGTCACATAGTTGTGCTATGCCTCGATTTGATCAGAAAATATTGTTCTATAAAAATCTACACGTTAGAAAATAGTTTAATTGATAGATATAATAGAAATAAACGCTCGAATTTGAATATTTGATTTTTCGATTTTTGATGTCAAAATCGATATTTTTGATGAAAATAGACTTTTATGACTCGAGGTTTAATTGTTGACAGATTTTTTATTGAGTATCAAAATCATCTATCTGGCAGATATTACATTATATTTAGTTTGCTATTTTATATTGTATTTCGTTCGAACGAAACGTTTAGTATTCTTTTAAATAGAAGATTGATAATTGTTGTTTTTCAATTTTCTTACACAAACGAATAGATTGTTCTAGAAATCTAGGTCAACTCTTTGTTGTTGTTGTTTTTTATAAAATACGGTTACAGGAATAATTTAATAATTCTCTTTGCCATTATTATTATAAAATTTATGATAAGGTTTACTAATACAATTTCTTTTTTCCGCAGGACTTTTGTTTTGTCTCAGTCTATGATAATATATATATATATTTTTTTTTTTATTTATTTATTTAGAGTGATGGTGAAGAACATCAGTATGATGAAGATAATGAAGATTTTGGTGACCGACAACAACAGGAAGAAGAAGAATATCAACGAGAAGATGAAAATGAAAATGAGCAAGTCGATGAAGAAAGTCAAGAAAATGATGAAGGTATTTTGTTGTTTTTTTTTGCTTATTATTAAACTGACATTGATATCAGCATGTGTCTATATGAGGACAAGTAATAAATAATAATAGTAGAAAGAAAGATGAATAAATTTCTTCATTTATAGCACTAAACACCACATGACGCAATTTCTAGAGATCTGTCATACAGATGCACATATACACACACACACACACACACACACACACAGAGAAGAGAAGAGAAAAATATTTTTGTGTTATTGTCACTGTACAAAAACAAATATCATGTTTCCGAACCTAAAAAAAATTTTTTATATGAAAAGGTTAGAAAAAAAAATGAATAACAATTATAAGACAAAAAATATGTTAATTATACATTATTTACATTATTAACGGTTTGAATTAAAATTTGTACACAAATTTTCTTATACTGTACATTTTTAATAAAAGAGAAAGAAAGTTATTATTTAAAGAGAACATTAGTTTTCCCATTGTTATCTAATAAAATTAACTATGAAGAATTCATAATTCGGGTAGTTTTTTCTTTTCTTCTTCTAATATCAGAAACGTTATGTAAGAGTAGGAACTACTTTTTCTCGATTATTGAGATCAACAGTTTATTATTTTTATCCTTGGTTAACAAGATAATAAGTAAACACAAACAATTACGTGTTAACATGTTACGTGAGTGATAATGAAGTTCAATCACTGAAAATGTCTATATAGGCACAGTATCAAAGAATTATTTATCATTTATTTATTCCTTTCCATGTTACTCTCTCTTTTTTTTTTCTTATATTTTGTTTATATATTCTGTCGTTTCTAATGTTGTCGCTGTTTGTCTTTTCTCTCTCTGTTTTTTTTCTTTTTTTTTTTTTTTTGCAGTTCATGGTGGATATTTAGCATTAACAAAGTGATGGTAGAATCATCGTCATCTCAAAAAGTATTTTTTCTTCTGAAATTTTGTTTATTGGTGGTATACATGATGTGATGTTGATGACATGACAGATAGAATATGTTGTTGCCGCAATTCTCTTTAGTCCTCTTATAGCTTATATGTACAAAATTGTGTAATATAGAATAGAAGAACATATTTCTTGGGTGTGTATATGTCTCTCTCTCTCTCTCTTTCTATATATATATATATATATACAGTTAGCCAAAGGATTACATAGAGAAAGATAGAGAGAAAAGATAAACTAAATATTATAATCAAATCATATCGAATAATAAAAACGTTCACTAGTGAGTATAAACATCCGATTTTATATTACATTTTAAAATTTGGTTGTTTTATAAATATCAATTATTTCTAATATTTTATAAGTGAGTGTTTTTATTTTTGTTATTTATTATTTAACTGTATCTAAGACGTAATGATTCTCTGATAAAATGTTTAGAGAAAAATAGAAATATTTTTACAATATTATAAAGCTAAATATGTTTGTTTTTCTAATAATTTTAATTTTATTTATTAATAGTTTCAAGTTTAGATGAGATAAATGTAGAAAGATTCTCGTAAAATTTAAAAAAAAGTATGGAATTTTTTTACCAGTTTTAGAACAAAAAAAAATGCATATAATTGCAACATAGTCTACCTCATATTTACTGATCACATATCATCTTAATTAAGAAAGAGAGAATCCACATTAACATTTATCAACTTTCAACGTAAGACTAATTTTAATTTGACTCAAATTTTTTCTATAGATAGGTCTCATATCGAAAGAAAACACATCGCTTCGAGAAATTTAAATAAGTGTACATCATATCATCAAAAGACATTTGATTCTATACATGTACCTTATTTACAAAGAAATATGTATCATTCACCTTAGTTTTGATACTATAGTTTCATACACTCGGTGGTACTGCCAACTGTTTATCTGTGACTGTTTTTGTCATGAAAACGATCAAGAAAAAAGAAAACTGTGAAATAACTCTGTAGTGCAGTGTCATTTTTGCTTTTTTCATCTATTCATCATCCATAAAAAGTACAGTAAATAGGTGCAAGTGACGTCATGTCAAAATATACAGATTCTTTTCTGTACATCGAGAAAATTTTGTCTTTTATAATTTGCAGAAAATTTCACTTTATTTTACCTAAGTGTTAAGTAGACATTATTTTCTGCTGCAGTACGTGTGCATACACAAGATTAAATAAATAGTAATATCAATCGATATAAATGTCGCACGCGTACATACCAAAAGAGAAAATTGGCTGTTTTTGTCCTATGACGTCAAATAGAACCAGAGAGAGAGAGAGAGCATTTTTGACAGAAAATATGACATTGATTATTGAATATATCATCTTTAAGAAAGTGGCTACATAAACATCAACTAACTTCCAAAACAAGAAATTTCGATCTAATTTACTTTTCTTTATAACTGTGTCTAACATAGATAACAAATATCCTTAATATCTTTTGTTTTCACAACGTTTGATTCCCAAGTTGAAATGATTGAATTACTGACTAATCAGAGCATACTTTTTAAAAACCTGTGAAAAATGTTTCAGTATTATGAAATATGAATATGTTTTTCGAAGTTAGTCTAATCCAGTAAATGAAAACAAGTATTGATAAAATGCGAAGAATCTTTGATTAGTCAGTAATTCAATCATTTCAACTTGGGAATCAAACGTT